CATGTTGTGTTTAAACTGTATTTAAAGTAGAAGTAGTTGATTTACAATCAAACGGGGGAGCAGGTAAGGGTTAGGTTCAGAGGTGCCTTGCTCAGGGGCCCCCTCCGCAGTCCCCAGGAGGTGGAGCTGGCACCTCTTCAGCTACCAGTCCACACTCTATACTGTGGTCCGTGCTGGACTTGAACCGGTGACCCTCCAGTTCCCAAGCCAAGTCCCTACAAAATATTACATGAATTATTTATAGCTTTATCAGGATTTTTAATTTTTTTATCTGTCAGTTTGAATGGATGGGGGATCCCCAGATCCTGTTTTTATTTAAAGTGAATTGAATTTCCCGAACCTTTCTCAATCACTAAAGCACAATAAAAACTCCAGTGTAAAATAAGATAGAATTCTCACATGGTGCATATGCATAAATACATTTGTGTTTCATTGAATAATCACAAACTTGGGGAAATGAATCCCAGCATACAAAATACTGGTTAGTTCCTGGGTCTCTGGGTAAAATGGGTCTCAGTGATCATGTGCATGGTTGGCTCAATAGGGGCCCACTGCTCGTTTTTACCCCAGCACCCCATAGCAGGTTCATTTGACCCCAAGTGTAATTAATGGTGATGTAAGACTTGAGGCATTTTGGCTGTTAGCTGCTGAATACAGCATGACTGTGAGGCGTTCACTTGACCTCACTCTGACTTTATCATTCCCCCTCTCTCTGTAACATTTGTATCTCTTTGTCTCCGCTGTCCTTTGTGGAGACGCCTTCCTCCTCATCCGTTTCTGTTGGTGCATCTCATTCTACCATCATTGTGGTGGGGCAATTAGCAGTTTCTCTGCCCACTCTCTGTGGGTGCCTGTGAGGTGTCTTCGTAAAGGAATACCCAGTACTTTCATATTTGCCCTGTCTTTTAATTGTTATAGACCCCCCCCCATCTCCCTGTTGTTTGTGTGTGTGTGTGTGTGTGTGTGTGTGTGTGGTGTCTTTGTGTGTATGGGATGTATGACTGAAGCACATTATGTAGGTCAGGTGACATTTATGTTTTCTTTTTCTTTTTTTAGTAAACCATCTGAGGTAACTGGTGGCTGATACGACACTGATTTCATTAATTACGTTAGCTACGTGTCAATCAAACCTTGGCCGGCCTCAGGCCTGTCTGCTTTTGTTTGGGGTCGTATCAATGGAAAGTTTTTTTTTTTAGTCTGTGTGTGTCTGCTTCTGCTAGTGCGAATGACCCATTTAGTGAGGCTTCTTGGGTCTTCAATCAAAATGTTTATTCAACAGATTCATTTAGAAAGTTGATTTGTTTATTCCTGGCAGCCTGTTGTTACTGAGCATGCTCTGTTACCTCGTTCTGTCTTCCTATGCATGAAACTGTCTTCCCATGAACATCAGCAGGGATGTAACGATACGCTCAACTCACGATTCACAATACTGGGTTCACAATGTGACTTTCTCAAACTGAGGTTGAAGATACATTGTGATTGAAAAAGATTCCTTTATTTCTCAGACAATAATCTACAACATATATGTTTTCTTTATCAAGTTAAATTAATAAATATAATAAATAAAAAACTGTGCGAAACAATTCAAATGTCCTTTTCTTTGTGTCAACTACTGAAAATGGCCTCATGTCTCTGGCCACATCTTGTCTGTTATCTTCTTACCTCAGCTGAGCTGCCACACCTCTGATCTTAAACAGGATGGTGCATACTCAGTTTTGAAGGACAACCATGTCTCTGCGCCGCTGAGGTTACAGAATTGAAATCAATCCTCAAAATATTTTGAAAAGGCCTTTATGTTAGCACAGTTTTATATTCAACATGTCTTATCAGTTTTATTATTGTAATATATTGCAGCACTGTTTTTTTCATCGTTAAATTGTCCTACAGATATCTTTGCCTTTTTCCATCATACATATAAAGAGCATTTAAAACTCTAAATGTAAATGTCTTTTTTTTTTTACTCTTTTTTATACATCAGTCTTTCAAACTGTGAGGCACCCAGCCACTGCAAGGAATATTTTTGCTGCTATTGTGCTGACCTTTATTTGCTAAAATTCAACTTGGATCCTAGTTGCTTACCTGAAGACTGAAATGTCTGAAGATAGATTACAGTCCAGAGTTTAAACACAACACAAAATAAACCTCTGAATGTAAGCTATTATTTAAAAATCCATAGTATTTTTGAGAATCAACACAGTATCACAAAACATAATATCATCGTTCTCAAGTGTATTAATATTCATACCCCTATGAAATACCAATACCATCTCATATAAGAGGTAAATAGACCATATCCAGTTTAAAAAACAAGGCCAGATGACCCAGATCCCACCAGATTCCCACACTTAACTGAATATTAAGTTTATATATTTACAGTCTTTAAGTAAAGCTCCTGTGTGTGGGACCGAGCGGGTACAGTAGGAGGTGTTCAGTTGTTGTTTTCTGTTTGTCAGACTGGATTATCTTCTGTCTGATCCTCTGAGGAATGAACTTTCCTTCCAACAGTTTAATGCACGTGCAGGTGTGTGCAAATGGTGGCATGGATTAGAAAGTCACTTAACACACACACACACACACACACACACACACACACACACAACCCTCAGCTGACCTAATTATTAATCATGATTCTCTTCTTGCGCTGTCTGGTTTCTGGCACTTCCTCCATTAACACACTGCTTTCTCATTGGAACAACAGGGCGACAAAAAAGTAAGAGTGTGTGTGTGGTGTGTGTGTGTGTGTGTGTGTGTGTGTGTGTGTGTGTGTGTGTAAAGACTGCTTGAACCTGGTGTTTATTTCAAGGAAATTCTTTATTAATTGAGCAGGTTTAAATGAGTCTGATCTAAGTAACCATGGAAACCTAACCCTCCAAACTAGCCTGGTACCGGTCAGGATAATTTTCAGGCTTAGCTTCAGCTCAGGCTGACGTGACAGTAATGGGGGGAACATTGTGAGTTCAGGGCCCTTTAAGATTGAATGCTATGGTTTGTAGGATTTAACAGATGGAACTTCTGGGGCTCGGGATGTTATCACTGAGGGATTAGATTTTTCTAGTAACTAACAAGCAACTTTCAACCAGAAGCTAAAATTATAGCTGCCTGAGTGTTCCCACATGTCATGGAAAACATGTACTTGTACACAGACTTGCTGCGACATTTTCAGCACCCAACCTATTTTTGCTGGAGCCATAATCAGGAAATGGAAATGCTGTAAATGTTCATATCTCTACACATACATCTTATTAATGATCAGATCTGTAGTTGTGATAGAATACATGCACAACAATGTTAGTTGAAACACTTTGGTTGGGGTAAGAACAGCCAGACGCGCCACAAAAGAGTGTACCATGTTCATTGTGATCCCTACATAATTAAAAGATGTGACAGTACTAGGCCTACTGGTAAATGATATGAATTATATTGGGAGTTCTATCCTGTATGGCCAAGAAAAACTCAATGAACCAATCCAACTAACGCAGTCTGATCTTTGGAATAGTGTCAAGTTAGTGGACTCTGGTGTGTGTTGTCTTAACATTTCGTCCAACTAAAATGAGCGCCATACGTTACATCCTGACCTGGTGCCTGTTCCTCTATATTTATTTTTTTTATTTATTTATTTTTTTTGCCAAAAACTGCTCCTTTGATAGTAAAGGTTAGTGACCTCTGCCCTAAAGTATTAGCTTCTTAGATCTGGGAACACAGGGGCACATTGACTTTGCTACAGTGCAACCAAACACTGAAAAATATGTTCCAGGCTGAAAGGAAAAATAAAAGCATTTCTTTCCAGGAAAACAGACTTTGCAAGAACAAAGTCTGTGTAGTCAAAAACACCCAAGCAGTCAGATGATTAGACAGATTGTAAACCAGCCAACAGTTTATCCACATTATATAACACACTGTATTTGGATTCACTTGGTGAGTACAGTGTTATTACTGAGCTACAATTATAGTTGTAATAAAGCCGTATTATCCTGCAATGAAGTTTAACCTGACTGCTCTGAGCGCTTACTGTACCGCTGGATCAGAACCCGAATATGTGTGTGTGTGTGTGTGTGTGTGTATAATGGAGGTTCTGTGGGGAACTATTTGACTTTGATTACCATACATCAGGTCTGACCTCCAGCCTGTCTTGCCAGTGTTTTTATTCTCTCTAGTTGGTTTAAAGGCCTTTTCTTCTCACCTTGAAAAACCAAAACACCCCCCCCACCACCTTTCCTCTGAGATAGAGCCTAATTCACCAGCACCCTGAGGGGACGCCTTGTCTATTCCTGACTGCCCTCTCTCTCTTTTTCTTTTTCAATCACGCAACCGGTCTAATTGAGTTTATCCATCAAAGTTTATCTCAGGTCAGAGGAAATGAAAGGTGCTTTAAGGAGGGCAGTAGCTGAAGTATTTCTGATGTTTGCTGTTTACTCTGTGATCGCGAGCCTGTGTTCTCACGTGAGAGGTGGAGAGAGAGTGATCAGTCGACAGTACAAACGGCCTCGTTCAAGAGAAGTTCCTAATTAGTTTGCTATATTTGGAGGTGCTGCTATTTCTGCCACTGCCTCTAGCAAGTCATAACACACACACACACACACACACACACACACACACACACTAGGGCTAGATTGTGATTTATTTCTCATGGGATTCGCCATAAAAAACCTGACGTGGGACAGCTCAGTCATTTTGGTGAGGTTGTGGATGAAACGGGGAACACAGAGGGTAGTTTGGGTTTCCTGCGGGTGCTCCGGCTTCCTCCCGCAGTCCAAACTCAAACTCTAAATTACACATGAATGTGTCTGTCTGTGTGTGAGACCAGTGACCTAGTGCATGCTGGGATAGGATCCAGCCCTCCCTGACCTTGCACAGGTGAAGCAGAGTAAATAAAGCTTATGGCTGATCTACAAAACTATTAGACTGAAGGATTTCAAATGTTTGCATTGCAATCTAATGAATGGTCTACATCTGTGTGTGTGTGTGTGTGTGTGTGTGTGTGTGTGTGTGTGTGTGTGCAGTGCGGCTGGAGGCGAGATCTTCAACCAGTGTGTGTCGGATCGGGAAGATGAGGCCTTCAGCGAAGAGGACGTGAAGAGGCTCATGAGGCAGATCCTGGAGGGAGTCTCCTTCCTCCACCAGAACAACGTTGTCCACCTCGACCTGAAGGTCAGTGGACACACACACAAACATGATTCTCTGTAACCGCCTTTATTTTGCTTTTCCTGTACAGTGCAGTCATTTCCTCTCATTTCTTCATGATGTCTAAAAGGAACCAGTGAGTTCAGATAAAACCTCATTTATTCTCTGTACTAACTAAATTGGCAATGGTTCAGCAAGGTTTTGTAAAGATCCATTCTGAACATTCTGAGACATAATGGACAAAGCAGAATGTACCAGTGGCTTAAAGCTGCAGTAGGTCATATTTTCTGAAACTTTCACTATATCCTGACAGTAGGACATACAGTTTATCTAAAAAATATCTGGTTCCTCTGGCTCCTCCTAGTGCTTTAATTACATTTCCTAGAATCAAACAACCAGTATGACAAAAAGTTATTTTTAGCACAGTTTAAACCCACTGATATGAACACAGACTATAAACCTATAAAACTGTTCCACAAGTGAGTGTATCCTGTATGAAGATGGTGACACAGAGCAGAGTAGATATGTGTTTCCTGTCTAACACTAACGTGCGTGCCGCAATGTCTCCGTCAGCCTCAGAACATCCTGCTGACCAGCAGCTCTCCTCTGGGTGACATCAAGATCGTGGACTTTGGTCTGTCCAGGATGGTCAGCAGCCACCAGGAGCTCAGAGAGATCATGGGAACTCCAGAATACGTCGGTGAGTTGGTGTTCATCCTCGCCTCTGTCACCTCACTTTTGCACTGATAGGATTCTGAGCAGTAACTCATGTGTTTGTGTGCTTGTTTTCAGCTCCTGAGATTCTAAACTATGAGCCCATAAGCACAGCAACAGATATGTGGTGAGAAAACCCCTTATTATTCCAATGAATAAATAGCGGTGCTCTTTTTGTACTTTTTGGACTGCTTGATTCCACCATGTCAAGTTCTTGACACGGAATCACATACCAACATATTATTTATACTAAGTGTGATGTCAATACTCATACTCACATACTCAAGCACCCCATAATGCATTGTGTCTTTTCTGATGTGTCAATGGTGGATTACCACAAAATTCACTTTGGAGAATATTTGAATGGAGAAATCCACTGTGCAGATTGCGTTTTACAAAAATTGCTGGTGAAAGTGCTCAACGTTTTTGGAGTTGAGAAGCTCCAGAAGCACAAGCTAGTTAACTAGCAAGCCAGCCAGGAGGGGCTTCTTGCCAGGTCTTGCCGGCCAGTCCGCTCACAGACCCCTCTCTCCCACAGTCACACCGACCACTGCAGCCAACTTCTGCACCATTTTTATCTGCTGTTCTGTATTTATTCTGTTTAGTTAAGCACTGCTTTAGGTAAACTTTATATAGGCTTTACAAGATAACTTACAAACACAAGATAGTACCATCCTCCTTCTCCTGGCAAACAATAGCCTTTACTGCCCCTCTCCCCCTTTTTTACTTTGATTTGCCTTGAAATAATACTGGAAAATATTACATTGAGGGAGTTTGCTGTGATCGATAAGCCATGTGATACGCAGAAGACATATGCTTGAATATACTTCAGTGACTTCACTGAGTATGTAGTAGGCAGTATGTTAGGATGTCATTTCAAACACACTCAATGCTTGTGATTCCACCAGAAGCAGCTCTCCAGTCTGCTCTGTGGAGAATACACAGATGGTCTATTTCTGATGGAAGCCACAACCAAGCTGCACAAAGCAGATCGAGAGACATCCGGTCACTATTCAGAATAAAACACCCTTTGCAGACCCCCGATTGTAAAAAGAGACAAAAGGGAAACAATTTAAAGTAGCCTACTTTCCCATGGTAGAAGCACATCATGGAATGGCATGAAGCAGCGTAGAGAACAGATCATAACAGCATTACAATGTGACGTCGTACAGCCCGGTGGAATCAAGGTGTAAGAGACTACAGCTTAGCTAGCGGCTGTGTGAGGCAGTACTTATGCACAGCAGTGCTTTGAGCTAAATGCAGGATACAAATCAGGATGCTAACTCAATATGCTCACAGTCACAGTGCTAACATGCTAATGCTAAGCAGATATAATGTTTACCATGTTCACCATGGTTAGCGTGCTAACATTCAATAAGTAAACATAAAGCTACAGCTGAGGCTGATGGGAACGTCATTAGTCTTGCAGGTATTTGCTCATAAACCATTATTAGACATATTAATATTTGACCTGATGGTGGCCGTAAATGTCTGAAGTTGTTGAGACACGCTACCATTCAAAGATGCACATTTTATTGTATATAATGTATTGTGTACGTGTTTCCATATCAGCCTGTCCTAACCCTGTCTGCACTGTGCTCCATGTCCTCAGGAGTATTGGTGTCTTGGCCTACGTGATGCTGACAGGAATCTCTCCGTTCCTGGGCGAGGACAAGCAGGAGACGTTTCTCAACATCTCCCAGCTCAATGTGAGCTACACGGAGGAGGAGCTGCAACAGCTGGACCCAGCCGCCCTGTCCTTCATCCAGACACTGCTCCGCAAACAGCCACAGTCAGTCCACTCACACTGATCCGCAACACACACAGCCTTACGTGTTACTTAGTAACATTGTCTAGAAAAGGCACAAAGAGAATGAGCAGACACACATTGTCCATTCATTCGCAAACTCATTTTTAGAGTCCCTTTATGTGTGATTAAGACCAGGTGAAATGAACAATCACTTACAGAGCCATACAAAGAAAACGGGTACAATAACAGTATAAAAAACTATGAGCACAAAAGGCCAGGAAATAAACATTCTCTGTGATTTAGTCTTACCATCTGCGGGTAGAAAACCACATCCAGTTCAGGTGATGTTGCAATTGAATCTTGTTGTTTTCCTTTTCTGTTGCCAGACAGCTATGAATTGGAACACGGCTCATACTGTAAACATTGCGCCGGCAAACTGCTGCTGATAAAGTCATTATTTTATGATCATGATATCTGTCAAATTAAAAAGTAAAAATCCAGGGTAAAGACTGCAACTGTGTTGTGAGATGGATTATACTGACATTTAAAATGAGTGATGATAGAGAAAGTTTAGAAGCAACAAAAGCTTGTGCGCCATATTAAAGTACAGCCATAAAGCAAGTTACCATCCGCAAACATGCACTGTATTTATGCTTAGAAACATTCCAAATAATGTTAGCAAAGTCTAAACTCTATTATGTGTGCTGTAATGTGGGCACTGAACAACAGACGCTCCACTTCTGAAAAGTTTCCAGTGGACACTGGAACAGTGATGTGACGGAGCCGGAACACAATGCTGTGTACATTTTGTTTAATGCTCTGAAAACAGCTTGTGGTCTACAGCATCCCCTTAATCTACAAAATAAAAAATATATATACTTTGTACTTTTTGCTTTTACTGAAATATAATACAGGGTTCCCTGGAAAACCTGGAAATTTAGAGACTAGTTTTCCAGTCAATGAAACACCTAGTTTGGAACTCGACTGTTGGTAGGATACACTGTGCAGTGTGATGTTTCAAAGCCGGTTTGGCTTAAACCCCCTGGTAGGGGGGTTCTGATCATGTCGTGTGTGTGCATCGCAGTGCACTTTGAGTTCACTGCCTGAACTAGCTCACAGGTGTCGCTCTATTTAGAAAGGGTAACATATTCTGAGTAAGAAAGACTTCATTAGGCATTTGGACACCATTAACACTTGTCCTTTGTGTTTTGTTACCTAAGAATGGTCACCACATTTATTAAGCAAAGCATATTAAGATGATAAAATATGTACAACTACTTCCATAATTAGGAGGTTTGTAACTACTAGGCTCGTAATGGCCTGGTAGTTGTAGAATGTAGTCATGCAGAATAAGGCATGAATAAGTGACTAAAGATTTTCCTAGTCGACTAGTAGTCGTTAAATAAAGCCAGTAGTCGACTAGCTGCCTGTTTAATGCCAACAGAAAAAGCAGTAATGATTCTGAATGTGTCAGAACAACCAGCAAGGAGACTGAATTAGTTTATTTATTTCAACACAGTATAACATCACACAGTCTTGTTGTTCAAGACACGGGATAAATAACTTCCAACTTCACTAAAACTAATACTGGTTGATTGGCTCTGCTCCAGTTCTGCACCTAGTACAGTTAGTTAATAGTGAATATGTGTACCTTAATATAAAGTGTTACCATAAACTCTACTTGATTTGAACTGTTACTTGTGGGCTGTGGCCAAATTAATGATACAGTGAGAGGAAAACTGTAGTAAGTCAATTCACTCATGAAGAGTGTCTCATAAACAGACCTCCTAGCTGTAATGAAGCTGAGACACTTCATCACAAACCTCATTCAATGATTCATCATCATTAAAAAAGGAATAAAAGTGGGGTTGAATGTGTCAGTTATAGACCAAATTATATGAAGTGCTGTCCTGTACTGTCAAGAAAAAATACTGAGACATAATTGTCCATTTTGCCCCATTACACTCTCACACTCTTCTGTGAAGCATTAGTGACCCCTAGTGGGCGTCCAGACACATTTCACAGATGCTAAGGTTGTCATGCATGCGTCAGTGTGGACTACAGTGTCCTGTGATACCGTGTATTCAGCATAGACCAGAAGCACAATGTGAGATGTCCTGCTGTGTCCCTGTGTGTGTCTGTTTAGGGTTCGGGCCACAGCCGAGCAGTGTCTCAAACACCCCTGGCTCCAGTCCTCGGCGCCTCAGAAAACCCAGACAGTGGAGGAGATCCTCCCAGTGGAGGATCAGGAGGCGTCCAGCTCTGCCAGCAGCTCCACCAGCAGCTCCACCAGCAGCTCCACCAGCAGCCCTGAACCTCCCTGCAGTACGACCATGGGTGAGGAGGAAGATGAAGAGGAGGAGGGGGAAGACCCGGTGACAGAGGAGCTGATAGTCATGGCTGCCTACACCCTGGGCCAATGTCGCCAATCCTCCGCCTCCACCTCAGAGAAGGAGGCGCTGGCCACCGAGCAGAAGGCCATCTCCAAACGCTTCAAGTTTGAGGAGCCTTTCAGCGCCCTGCAGGAGGTCCCCGGAGAGTTCATCTACTGACCCCACCCGCCACACGACAGGAAAAGTTAGTGTTGTCACGGTAACAAACATAGACCTTCTGATTATACAAGCTCCGCTCCATATATACTGTATGTGTATGATCAGATGCCGCTTCACAGATATTATTTAAACAGTTGTATTTTAAGTGCATTTTTCAAGTACATATTTCTCCCATAATGCATCACCACGATTGACAGACACCCAACCTACCTTCTAAAGCAGTTACAGTTGGTTCACGTCTCTTGTGTTTCATTTGGTTTCCTGCTGTATTTTTATTTTCTCCCTGAACAACTGGACAAACATACATGGAGTGACACACTGAGATATTTCCACAAGCTCCAGTAGAGTTTGGTGTTAAAGAGTGAGGTCTCCTTTCTAGAGACGCCATTTTAGCCCCACTTTCAACAGTCAAACAGGGAAACATCTGTAGAATAGGCCAATTGAAAGGGTGCTCAAAAATGCACCATAGCAGGCTTGAAGGAACCAGTGTGTGGGATTTAGTGACATCTAGCGGTCAAGTGTCAGATTGCAAGTAACTGAACACAGCTCAAGCTTATATTCAACGACCTGGGAATGAGAACAGGCTGTGAAGCGTGTAGGAAAAACGATGGTGGCTGTGGAACTCGCAAAAGGGCCTGTCTACAGCCAGTGTTTGGTTTGTCCCTCCTGGGCTACTGTAGAAACAAGGTGGTTCAACATGGCAGACTCCATAGAAGGCGACCTGCTGCGTCTGTAGATAAAAACATCTCATTCTACAGTAATGAAAACCTAACAAATCTTATATTGAAGTGATCATACACTAATGAAGACATCCCTATGAATATTATCTTTAATTTCTGACAATTTACCCTCCTAAATGTTACACACTGGACAAAAAGAACTACAATTCCATGTCAACTGAGCAAACAGCTGCTGTGGAAGATTATGTACTAAGACTGAAAGCTCCAGAACAGCTAGTAACTGGACCTGTCCCAAAAAAAAAGAAAGAAATTCTTCAAATAAATATTTGTGCTATATATCTAAATTGCGTCTTACTTTTTTGACACATTATTAATACTATTATTATTCCCTAGAATAACGTCTCTTGAAGTCTCCTGCAGTGTATTTCTGCCATGCCAGAAAAATAAAAACAGATCATGTTATAACATGAAACATGACATAGTATATTGTTATAATAAGGAACGTGTTTGTTAATAACGTGATAAGCTTGACATGAAATTAATTTGAACATGAAAGTATCTTGTTATAATGTCTAAACGTCTTGTTATAACAATAAACTTTTTACACTATAAAATTGATGATCCAATTTTCTTTTTCTGGTGGGGCAGCAATAGGCTTCCGTAGAGTCCACACCACACATCTATGGCAATCTATGGCTTTTTCTTCTGTTGCAGTAGTGGCCACTGGGACAAATTGGCAGCAAATTGGCTATATCCAGCTCTCCAGTTAGACAGAAATGTCTAATGTGAAGTGAAAACTGTCGTAACTTTTAACAGAAGATGTTCATATAAGACCCCGTCACTCATAGTGAAAGCTGAGAAAATCAGTCTCAGGATCTTTAATGCTGGTGTCATTCTGCCCAGTTACTATAAATCAGTGGACCCCTGTTAGCCAATCAGAATGAAGAATTAAGTGGCTATAGTATCAGACACTGAACCGTCATGTTTTGATCACGGGGCAAAAGGCATTCTGGGAAACAAAGACATCGTAGAAACAGACAGGTCGGGTTGAGGGAAGGTGACAAACTAACTCCTGTCACAGATACCAGATGATGGAGAGAGATCCACTTTGTTACATGGCAGTCTGTCTACTGTATGTAAAGAGTGTGTATATAGCACACACACACTTCCAGTCATCATATATGTGCATGTGTACTGATGAGTGAAGGGGTTGCAGTTGAGTCCACAGACTGTATATAAAGATGGATGACATGTCTCCACTTCCTCCCAATGCTTAAACAAACATCAGTGTGATAAGAGCTACCTAAAATGACAGAAACCATCTTGGGCAATGTCTCATATTTTATTTTTTGTGCAACATTTAAGGGGCAGGGTTTATGACCTATAGTGCAACCAGCCACCAGGGGGCGATCCAGATATGTTGGCGTCGCTTTTGTGGAGTTGTCATGTCGTCCATCATACTATACAGCCAACGGTTGAGACTGTTCTTATTGCTAAACAGTGAGAAGTTACTCACTTTTCTTCCTTTTTTCATCATTTCTGTATTCAGAAGCCAAATGTTTGTTGGTCTCAGTCTATTTCCTCGTCCATGCTGCTGTCCTCTGAACAGAACCAGCTCCTGCTCGCTCAACCCTGTTTGTGTTTTGTCTTATTTTGTATTTGGTGCCATGCTTGGAGAATTGTTTGATTTTTAGCTCTTGCTGTTATTTTTTATTTTTTATTTCTGTTTAATATTGCAGATATTTCTGAGGAAGTTTTTTAATTGTGTGTACATAATGCAAATGTGTGTTGTTTTTAAGAGGTATATTCAACAGTACTGTTTAAAGAGCCATTTCACATATTCCTGACTGACCTCCCTGTGGCTCACTTCTCTCTGAAGCAATAAAAACAGATGATTTTAAGCTGTACCTGTAGATGGCGAGCACTCCACACTTCCTGTGGGTCTGTACTGTAAATTTATGTTTATGAAACAATAAGCTCTGTCACTATGGGAACAGATTTGTACATTAATGTCCCGTACTGTAAATAAACATTTCAAAATTGAGTTTGGAGTAATCATTTGTGTTTGTGTGTTTTGGTACCCACATTATCAACAAAATAATCACTGAACTATTGATTGAGACCAATCAACAAAATAATAAACCCCCTGCAGATAAACAGGGTCATTATTAGAATTATGCTGACACTATTATTACTATTATTACAAGCTTGTTGTATTTTTTCAAACGTGGCTAACATGTTGCTATCAGGCTCAGCTGATTCAGTTCATTCTCATCCAGCTAACCTGGTTGTTATAGTTACCTTGAATAACTGTGCTCTTATTTTGAAACAAAAGGAATCAAAGCACGAATCAGCACAGTGTTTGACCGCTGAACAGAAAGAGCGGGAGTTTTAAAAGCTCGCAGCCTGTCTGCTGTCTGTCTGTCTGTCTGCCTGTCTGCCTGCCTCGCTGTTTTTACTAACAATAAAAGTGTAAAAAGTTCAGATTCTAAAATCAGTTTAAAATCAAAAGGTGATTATCTTTATTACTATCAATCTGTGTGTGTGTGTGTGTGTGTGTGTGTGGTGTGTGTGTGTGTGGTGTGTGTGGGGTGTGTGGGGGGGGGGGGGGGGGGGGGTGTGTGTGTGTGTGTGGGGTGTGTGTGTGTGTGTGTGTGTGGTGTGTGTGTGTGTGTGTATTACATTTTGTTATTTGTGTGGTAGGTGCTGTCATTCGCTCATACTCTGCTGCAGTGCACACAGTTTGTGGGATGATGTGATTATTTGTAAGAGGGTTTGCATTTTGCAGAAGAAATGAGCTGTTTGTTTTGCTCCCTGCTGTTGGCTCGTTGCAGGTTGAACTGTTAAAGTTAGCATGGTATTTTAATTTCAGAGCTGGGATTGTCACATGTTTGCAGTACTGTATGAGAGGATACAGTAAGTTCAGATGGTAGTTTGCCTTTTTTCACAGTTGGCTATTAAACCTATGCCTGTGTGTGTACTAAATAAATGTTAAGAATGATTTACAGAATAATAAAAAGTATACAGTGTTATATAGCTGTGCAGTATATGTAAAAGACACTACTGTACACAGTAATAGCATACAATAAAACAATGTCTTTGTATGTGAAAATGAGGCCATGTATAGCGTTCACATACAGTATCAGTTCTGGCCATGATTCAGCTTGTGCAGGTTTAAACTGAAGTACTTGTTGCTATGACAACAGCCACACATACATTTTAAACCAGCTTGCAAGATCGATCAAATCAACCTAACAGAGAACACAACATCCACGTTGGGCCAAAATTATTGCGCCACCTACTGGACATTCCCAGCATCCACTAGGAGGAGGTCAGAGGTCACGGACAATCAGGCGCTATGGAGGTCTATGGTCTATGGAGCAGTCAGTGGGCGACTGCAGAAAGATCAGGAAGGAGATTCACATCTGACACCCCAGACATTTCACCGTATCCAGCCACAAACAACCACCTGCTGATGAAGACCATGAGATGTGACTAAAAACTCCTTTACTGCTGTTCTGCTGTCAATAGTAGACTTTAGAGCTATCAAAGACATCCTTATTATTCAGTTTTGTAATGGTTGTTTTATTGTTTGTCATTCTGTAAACATCAGATGTTTCTACACACAGTCCACATAATATATTGCAAAGCTGCAGCGTTACCTACAGTGGCCACTAGATGGAAGCACCAGTATTTATATTAGAGGCATGTGGAGGGTTATGAGAGTTTGGATGCACTTTCCACTGATGTGCAAATGAATTTTACAAATCAAAATCAATCAGTTATCATAGGTAAGGTAAGATCATACAGGTGATGTAATGCAATAATAGTATTTCTCTACTTATGTTGTTGTTTCCCCACCAACACTGGTCAGCCAACTGGTCTTGGGATTCAACCTTGTGATCATCATCAATTCAATTCAATTCAATTCAGTTTTATTTGTATAGTGCCAATTCATAACAGAAGTTATCTCAGGACACTTTTCAAATAGAGCAGGTCTAGACCCAACTCCTTATAACAACCATCAGTCACTACTATTAGTGTAGTTGTTGCTACTGTTGTTGCTGTGCACCTTTGTCTTTGTCCTTCTGTCATTACCCTCTCTCTCTCTCTCTCTCTCTCTCTCTCTCTCTCTCTCTCTCACCCCAACTGGTCCACCCACCTAGAGCAAGGTTTTCCTTGCCCCGTCACCAAGTGCTTGCTCATGGTGGTACTGTTTGTGTGTGTACCTTCTGTGAGAGACTGGATACACAATATGCAGGAGGGGTGACGTTGCCAAGCAGGCGCGAAGACACCGGTGCACTTAAGCACTCACTGTCATCCTGAATCTCCCAGACTGACGCTGGCAGTCAGTGTGTATAAATGCTTGTATAAATGCATATAGTGTCACTCATTCAGCATCATTATATGGTGTCAAGCATAAAGTCACTAATTAAACCAATTACCCTCCTGTGTCGTGGAGCTCTGTCTTGGACACACACATTAACACACAAAATACACTTCACTATGCTTAAATAACACATACACAGATATTCAAGACACACTATCCACACTACTTTATATACATAGGATCTATAATCTATGTGATTATAGCATCTTACCAATTAACCCTTCCTTAGTCCCGCCTCTTTTTACTCAAACAATGCTATCTGCTAGGCTAATCTATGTTGAAAACACAACAACATATTGAAGATGGTTAAAAGATAAAAGCAATATATAGTCACATTTTAAGTTAGCTAGCTAATATAAGCAAAATGCTAGCCTAACAGCCATCTTAACTGCAATCATTAGGTAGTTAGCTAGAGTAGTGTTGGACACTGACGCAGACAGTTGTGTCAATTGTTCAGTTTATTTGTACAAAAAACGATATTCAGCAACACACTTCCTATGAACAGGCTCTCAGCAGCAGGCTTTCACGGTTTACACTTCCATTTTTTACAGTACACACAGAGCTAGCCATGGTGCAGTTTTATGTTGTTAGGGAGGCCAGATTGGACCAGCACACTGAATTACAGACACTACAGCACAACATCCGCAGAGACCAACAGGCAGCCTCACACAGGGAACATGAGAGTGGAAACAATAACACCAAACTGAGATTCAATCAGTCTGACAACAGAACAAAGTGAAAACACAGTCCAACTACAGATGAGCCTGAAGGCTGCAAATAATCCAACAACACGAGATGAAAGGCTGGGGAGAGGACAGAACCACAGCAGTGTTAGCTTTTACTCACATGTGGACCAGGGCTGGACCAGACATCTATTACTGACTTAACTGTTTTCCCCCATTATATACGTTTATGGCATACATTTTAGGCCATGATTAGATTTGTTAGAATCTGCATTAGGAATGTAGAACCTGCTGGTAACTTTATATAGCCTGTGGAATAAGCTCATGGGTGCTAGGTGAGAGTCTGCCCCCAGAGGGCAGCATTCACACCTCCTTAATCTACAGCCTGTGTGTAACATAGAAAAGTGTCTTTTATAGGTTTTCTGAAACCAGTTATTTTTGAACGATCAGTCCTTTTTATTGTTTAATTGTTAAAATTATATAAATCAGGACTTTATTGTTTGTTTGTTTTTTTTCCTCAAACTTCCTGCAACATTACAGTACAAAACATACTTTTCACTTGGTGGTCTACAAGTAACAACGTACACAAACACAAGAAACGAAAACTGAGAGCAGACACCACAGCACCTATCTATATAGGTCACAGCATCTCCCCTTCCCCACAATATCCCACAGGACATACAATAAGGCAGTGGTTCCCAAACTGTTTCCTTCAAGGAGCCCTTTTCTTTCATTTAGTAAACTGACTTCCCCTGACTCAGTGACATGTTTTAAAGATATTTCATATTATATAAAACTACAATGAACCCAAACCTTGAACTGCAGGAAGTGTGTGTAAAACCAGTGATTTGGATTCATTTTGAACAGATTATTTCCTGTTTCAGGGAACTTTTTATATAATACTGTCTGTATTATGTTTTATCATTTTTAACAATCATACAGACTTAACAGTCTTCTTTTTTTGACAAAGACTGTTTTCTTGTCCCTGACACTTGGCCATTGTTCTGTTAGATCATATACTTTACATTTACATTTATTCACAGAAGTGAGCCTACTGTGTATATTTTTTAAGTTTTTGCTTACACCCCTTAAAATCAAGAAGGCCCATGAAGCTTTGGCGACCCCCAGATTGGGAACCTTAGCTTTCTATTACATATTGCTATGTAATGATCCCCACCATTAACCAGCTACCCCTCATTTCGGTGAATTTCAACACAGACCCTAGCTAGCATGAACTCATATGCGGCTATAACAGTCATGAGTTTGATCGAGTCTTTCTAACAAGGTGTGCTTGTATTTTTCTAGTTCCCTAGTACAATCCCGGCTGCATCAAGGAAGCCTGAGAACTAACCCAAACTGTGCCTTTTTAAGTCTTGCCTGATTCCATGTGAATGCAGCATAAATCCTACACACTGGTCCTTTTAATTGTGGCATTTTAAATCTTCCATAAATTGGTTTTGGTGTACTTCTCTGAAGAACAATGGGGCAGAGGGCTGATTAGATGTGGCTCTGGTGCTCTGCTGCAGCCACTTGTTATTGCATGAGAACCAGCAGTAGTGCTAATAGGGAAAATGTTCTCGGGAGCAAACACACACACACACACACACACACACACACACACACTCAAGAACACATTTGTCTCCGAGTCGGCAGAAATGTGGCATGCTTATCAAGGGCTGCCCTAACCACTTAGGTCCAAAATGGGGAGATAAGTGGACAGCCCCACTTGAAGTACCGTAGAACGCTTACATTTCCAGCACTCATTGCTTTAAATCATACAAGGTATTTAAGTCTGACTGGAGTTCAATAGTATTATTTTATAATATATACATTTACAGAAATTACATATAAATAAAGCAAAACTTGAAACTTAAAAAACACTAAATATGATACACATGCAGCCTCCAAAGTTAGTAAAAAGACAGTTGCTGTTATCAGCAGTTATTTATGTTCCTGTTTCACATTCATCTG